CCCGGCGGTGGGTGCCAGGTGGCAGCCCCCTGCCCCGCGCCCGCTGTTGTTTCTGGCGGGGACATCCCTCTGTCCCCTGGATTCAGCACCGCAGTCTAGACTTACTGACAGGCGGGATTCTTCTCCTGTTAGGTAAGCCAGATGTGGACGCCCGTTATGCAAATGCCCAGCCACGGTGTCCCTCGGTAACATTTTTCAGATCGTCCAAATAAGGTGCTCTTTCGTACAAAAATCTCTAGCACGACTTTTGGCTGCCTTGCCCTCTAGGTGTGATGTTTTTTTCCTCGCAGATGGGTGCAGGCGGAGCGCTTCTCGCCCGCAGCGAGGTCCGGAGGTGGGACGGCGGGGAGAGAGCTCGTGCTGGTCGGAGAAGCAGCTGAGCGGTGGGTAGCTCTGGTCCCCGTCGCTGCCGGGCTGTCCGTACCGGCTGCGGCGTGGATTCTGTTAAACCGAACATCATCACACGGACAGAGCAGGCACTGGTTGGTCTCGGAGCACTGCAGCTGTGCGTCTCGGGGGGGAGAAAGCGTTGGAGGGGCTGGTGACCCCGTGCCTTCCCCGTCGGGCTGGCAAAGCTGGGCAGAGGTGCTGCCCTGTGCAGGGGCTCCTGTGACTCAAGTCCTTCGTGTCCTAGGCTGAAGGAGGTGGGAACTGCTCGTGGCTGGTTGTCCAAAGTGTGGCTGGAAACATCAGTGGCAATTTTACTCTTTCTTTTTTTGCAGAGAAATCAAATGAGCCTTTCAGGCCTGATGACTACTGGCTTATTCTTACAGCTGTGGATCAGAGAGGCTCTTGTCATGTGCTTGTTATATGAGCACTAACTTCTGAGCACTCAGTATTTCTTCAAATGTTTTATAATGTGGTTCTGTAACTAATATCTGTCCTGCCCCCAGTCTGAAGTTGCTGTAGACTCTTCAAGCCTCAGAGCACACAGTTTGACACAAATAGCTGGGAAGAGATGACGGGAGGCTTAACAAGGTGCTCGCTGGGTCAGTAGCTGGCAGCCCACCAGCAGGGCAGACTCTCGAACTGCTGTTAGTACTGCGTGGTGATCACATCTCTTCTCAAGAAAACATTGGAAAGCTTCCTAATCTTGAATTCGCTGCGCAGGCACGTGATTTTCTGGGAATTAACTTGAATGCACTGCAGAATGGTTCATAAATATCTACATGGCCTAATATTAGATAATGGAAAAACCAGTACAGCGGGGGTTTTGTCGGTTTTCTTCGTGGTGGCCCTTCAGCCCTGGTGGCCTGTCTGTCGGTGCCAGCAGCTGCCGGCTCCGGTGATGCTTCTGCCCCTTACCTAGCGGAGAAAGGAAAAAAGTCTCTATCTTTCTAAATTGCAACATCACTCCTGCTTTTTTTAAATTGCAACGTTACTCCTGTTTTGCTGAGTATTATTTGTTTTGGGACACAGTTAATTCCATAAAGAATTTTTTTAGCTGTTTTCAGGAGCAGTGCTAACAGGCTATAGCCTGTGGTGGTCGGATGGTCGAGCTGATGTTGGCAGCCAGCAGGGAGCCTTTGTCCGTTGCTGCCCTCGCGGTGCTGGGTGAGACTCTCCCTTCCCATCGTGCGGGCCCAGGTCCCGTCCCTTCCCGCGTGGGAAGGCTGTCCTGCAGCCTCCTCCCGCTCCAAGCCCTGACATGCGCTCTGCACCTTGCAGCTTATTGCAGTCCCGAATTACTGTTGATGGCTCGCGATGCCATCTCGGGTCTGCAGCTTCCCGACACATCTGCGCTCTCGGTAACCTGCAGGAGTGAAGACGTCTGCCTGCTTCCAGCAGCGTTATGTAAACCAGTGCCAGCTCGCCTGCTCATTCTGAAAGTGTATTTTAACATTTCTGCTGTAAGATCTGAGATAATGAAAGGGGGTGAGCGGTGCTGAGTCAGTTCTTACTGGCGCTGGTTTTTGTCCTTCCTGCCCTCCCACACGCTCCACCTGCGCACTGAGCTAACCTTCAGCAGCGACAGCCCCCATGGGCTTTCCTCCGAGCAGCCCGCAGTAAACAGAGCCTGGTTTCCTCTTCTCTGGCTCCTTGGCCTGAGATAACTATCTAGGTTTTTTGGAAGAGCCGTGGCTGAGGAACGTTTGAGATCTGGGAAAGAAACAGGGGGTCCCTGAAGTTTGGGCGCTGCTCTGTCCTGCCTTTGGCAAACGGGCAAACAGCCAGGATCATTAAATCAGCCTTTGCTTTGAAACCCCTGAACTCTGGGCAAACAGGAATATATCCTGATGGTCGTTTCCAGCTGAGGTTTCTTTGTCTGACGGCACCGTGCGCAACCCGGAGGAGCCGGACGCTGATGTCTGCCAGCCCGGGAGCTGGCCCAGTCGGTCACGCGTGGCTGAGCAGACCTGGCGTTTGTTTTGGTGTGCGAGATGCTGACGGGCGTGCAAGACGTTACCCGTCGCCGTTTAATGAGACGGTACGGTGGCACCTGTGGCGCAGTGAGACAAATACCGGGGTCGGGGTTGAGAAAACCCCGGTGCCGTAGCACTGCTGACGGTACCGCACGCAGCCAGCGCGCCTCGCAGCTGGCCTGCGCTGAGCCAGCTTCGTCTGCCCTGTAATAAATTCCTTGAAGTTTAACGCTGCCTAAGCACTTCTCTATCGATGTGCAAAAATGCTTACTGTGATTTTTAAACTAAACCTTTTATTTTCTGGTGAGATAGGAAGCCCTGGCTGTGGGCTAACTGGAAGAGCAGTGCAGTCCTGTGTGAACTTGTAGACGAGATGGGGAAACGATCCGTCCTGCTGTGAAATTCGTTCTGTTTGAAGCGCAAATCGCTGGGAGGGCGCAGGGCATTTAGGCGAAGAATCCAGCTGTCGATTTTTTCTATAACTGATTTCTAACTTTCTAGTGTGAAAGCCCTCGATCTTTTATCTGAATCTCGTTGAATTTGCGCTTTCAAGTTGCGGAGCAGAGTTGCATAGGCGGCTTGTCATTGAACAGGTTTGCTGCTTCTTTATCTCGTTTTTCTAAGTATAGATATATGTAAAAGTGCCGAAACAGCAGTAAGTTTACATATTTCCAGCTGGTTTCCCATCGCAGCGCAGGGCGCACGTACAGCTGCTCGCTTGCTGCTGTCTGGACGGGCTTGCATTCCTCAGCCCTGAGGCCAGCATTCCTCTGCTCCTCTGCACCAGCTCATTTCTGTAGTATTTGTTTAAATTTTGAATCCCAGAACTGTCTCCAGATCACTTAAGCTACCAGACACCTTTATTAGTTGTACATACAGCCCCCGCCCTCTGGCATTTGAAATCTTGTTCGTACTTATGAAAATGAAACGGATATTGGCAACTTTCAGTTGCTCGTTGCTGTAGTTCGCTGGAATTAATCTGGAATTCCTAAATGCCATTTGACTGAGTAAAGGCAGTTGCAGTTTGCTTATTAGGCACTCGGCTAAGTTAAAAATCTGAAAGGAAAGTTGCTTTTTTTAAGTCTCGATGGCAGCCTGGACTGGAGAAATCTCCTCTGTTTTGGGTTTCTCCTCCTCTGCTCTGTGTACACGGAAGCTTGCACCTGAGCTGTTTTTTCCTCGGCTCTTCTGGCAGTTGCACCCAGGGAGACTCACAGTGGGTGGTGTCACACGCTCCCAGCTCTACACGGCCACGGGGAAAATGTGTGTGCAGAGGTGTCTAGTGAGAGCCCCATTAGTCAGCCGTGGGTTTGGGTGCCACGCTTCTAAACCCAAAGTGCAGCTCTGCTTTCTAACCTATTGCTGTCCTTGGCCTGATTTGCTGCTGTTTGGTGGAGATGGAGAATCCACATCCCCCAGGTCGGACCAACCTTTGTCTGGAGGAAAAAACCAAAGCAGCCCCAAGAGACAGACATTTCGTCCTGTTCCTCAGTGTCTTTGGTATAATTCTGAACTTAGTTCAGCTCCAGCCTGGGCTGGAGGCAGCAAGGCAGCAGAGTTGGAATTCTTCATCTCTTTAGAAACTAAACTAGTAGGTTTTTATTAATCTGGACTTTCTGTGTAACCGTGAGGGCATGGCCAGCGCTGTGCCAGGCGCAGTCAATCATTGATCTGGAAGAAACAGGCACCCCCAGTACAAACAGATGAAGAACTTGAACTTTTCCTCGGAAGCCTCCCGTCTGAGTGTTACCGTAGCCTGATGATGAAATGGGATCGATCCTCAGCATCTGGAAGCGTGCCAGCAGGCCTCTGACTGTTAATAGCCAAAGGTTGGGCAAAGCCTGATTTAACTGTCATCTGGAATGGGAGCTCTTTAAACCCGAATCGCCTGGGACGTGTCACTGCTGCCTCTGGTCTCGGCTGCGGTAGCTCTGAACGGTCGGGATGCTTCGTTTCCGCAGCAGATCTCGGACCTGGTTTGGTGTTCCTGCGGACAGTCCCCAGCCTGGGGACGGCTCGGGTTCTATACAAATCCCTGCTAAGAATAACTCTGTAGAGCATCTGCAGCGAAATACAAAAAAGCCTCGGTAACACGAGGATAGCCAGTTTCGTCCAAGAAATTTCCTTATAAAGAATTTCTACTGCGGACAGTCCCCAGCCTGGGGACGGCTCGGGTTCTATACAAATCCCTGCTAAGAATAACTCTGTAGAGCATCTGCAGCGAAATACAAAAAAGCCTCGGTAACACGAGGATAGCCAGTTTCGTCCAAGAAATTTCCTTATAAAGTATTGCTACGGCTGCAAAGCCCTGCCAACAGGAGTGGCCCGCGCTGCCAGTAATTTCTCTGCTTTTCCTTTCCCCGTTGCAGTAAAGACCGAGCGTCTGCCAACGGCACACCCACTGCGCTGCGATCGATGCCACGCGTGGAGACGGCCGGAGATCCGCAGTGCACGGGCTTTTGTGCCTGACTGAAACTGGAGATGGGGAGAGGGCAGGTCTGCAGAACAGCTGGGAAGGGCGCTACAGCCAACTGGAATCCTGTTGCAGCCACCCCTGAAACAAAAGGAAACGATTCCTTAGCGTGCTGAACGCTTGCTGACCCTGCTCACTGGTTTCAGTGTGGGGAGGGAAAAAAAAAAAAGCATGAGTCACGTAAACTGCTTTTACAAGTCTTCGCCTCTGCAAACCAGTCCTGCTCTGAATTGTTCTTTCACTCTTCAAGGAAAGTGGCTAAAAACAAATTAACTGCTAGTTTTTGTGGGACAGCGGCTCAACATCCAAGCTCCTCTGCAAGCTCTAGACGAAACCTTTTTCTTTTTTCTGAACTATTGCCCTAGAACTAATCGGCACAAAATGTTTGCTGGGATGAAAGCCTTCCTCCGAGCCTGCGCTCCGTGCTGCTGGGCTGGAGCTGGGGGGGTTAGCTCTGGGGACACGAGCTTTGGGAAACTTGGTTCTGTCGGGAATGGCCAAGGCTTGTCACGCTTTGGCACGAGGAATAACGGGAAGTGTTTTGGGGCTGTCCCCAAGAAGCCTGGTTCCTTTTAAAAACAAAG